TGTTCCAAATGTCTGTTTATAAAATTGATTGTCAAAAGTAAAGTAAATAAAATTGTAAGATAAAGGACTCTTTATGTAAAAATAAATAAGCAATGATAAAAGGGACAAAATAAGAGTCAATTTCAAATAAATATAACGAATTAGTTATATGACCCACACATAATATGTAATTAATTAGATCTTAACAAATACGTGAATATAGAATACTTAAGAACTACTTGAAACTACATTAAATCTACTTAAAAATTAATATAAATTACTAGTTTCGGCTCTTGGATTGAGCCCTCTTCAAACATTGAAATATCACGGACGTCGATATACATATAAATCATTGAAATGACAAAAATTAACGTTTTGATTTGATCTCTTCATGTAAAACATGACATTGTTGGTTGGAAAATCGTATGTAAATCAATATCTCTGTAAAAATTGATAAGAATCTATTAAAGTGAAAAAAACCCTGTCAAATTTCTAAAATAAACTCAACGAGGTCATGCACAAATTAGAAATGGAAAATTGGTTTATCAGCTTAAGCACAGAAATTGCAGTTAAAATGTTAAAATATGTCACAAAGAAGTTATAAATTAAAATAGCTTTACAAGCTGAAAACTTCTTTGTATATATCTGGTTATACAATTTAGGCTGGTAATAATATTCATTTTATTCAACTCCAACCGAACTGCCTTTTAGAAAAATCCATCCTTAGGAAGACTGCAGTTATTACTAATCAAATTCCATTTTGGGTAAATCCTCAATCACCAAATCTGTTGGAATGTGAACAAGGAAATCACATCGAAGGACACTAGAGGCTAAAACCAGAATAAATTTTGATGTTATTTAATTTTAAACTAATTCAATACTGTTGTCAATGTTGCTAGGCATCTTCGGGACTACTTTTGACAATCAAATTATGTAGAAACGTTGCCAAATTGTACAGTGAACTGTCAATCAAGGATGTGATAATTCGAAACGGGCAATTCTATTTGTACACCTTGGGCAACGCGTAAGCCCTAGGAATATTCCCATCGCTACAGTAAAGATGCCTATACGTAGTCATCAATCAGAAATGTACTTTGATTTTTTCCATCCTGCTAACGAACATCTTAAGTTGTTATTAATTTTATTATCACAATCTTACGTTGTGCGATTACTTGGCACAAGACACTATATATACTGTGTCTCTTGAGTCTGCATCTTAATACTGTATTTTCTTTTTTAAATCTTTTTATTATTTTTCTTATTCGGTATTGTTCAACAATTATCTTATTAGTGTATATTTTGAGGTCTAGCAGCGCCAAGTTTTCGTACTTTTACTTTTTGAAATAAAGTACATGTTATATATGTGGCAAGAAAATATATTACTTTCATAATTGGCGCAATTTAAAGATTTCATTTCATTTTTTGTATACTGTAATAATACATGTAATGACTTTTTGTGAGGTGAACGGGCATACTTGGTGCCTTTTTTCTTTTTTTTTTTTTTAAAGATAATTTTGTTGAGATGTCACGCATTTTGTAATGTTAAATATCTCTTATAAATCTGTATATATTATTGTATATATACATATTAGATTATATGTATACATATGTATATGTTATTATTATATTCTTTTTAAAGACATATTTTTGAGATAATTTTATGATGAAAATTTTAATGTAAAAATGTCAAGGCTATAATAATTTTTAAATTAATCGCAATTAAATTTTGCTAATCACAGAGTTGACATTTCGCGCATGACGATATATGACAAGTGGTGAATGTACGAGGGCCTCTCTTTAACATGCAATATTTTTCAGAAAATTTGAAAAAAAATATTTGTACATTTTTAATTTTTTATTATATACACATGTGCATAATTAATATGCATAATTAATATCGGATAATATATCGTAAAATATTAATTAATTCAGTAGCAAGATAAGTATTACGAAAATATCAACTGTTAAAATAAATTCGTAACTATGCTTATTTGTCTCGTATAGTAAAAAAACATTTGTATTTACATCGATATAAAATAATAAATTTGACATTTGGACTTCTCATCGCGACATTTTCCTTCGTAAAAGTTTCCTACGTAGAAAATGAAAACACATTTATAATATAATTTAAATCCCAATAGTAAATTGAGACTACTTAAAAGTTGATAAATTCAACCGTTTATTGAGAGAATCTAATAATAATCTTATAGGTGCTCTCGCAAACTCATCGACTCGCGTAAAGATACGGTGCGGTCTCGCGCTTCGCGTTCACTTGGCGCGAGACACTATCGCGTCTCTTGATTCGCACACGAAAAATGGTTCTGCGGACAAGAGATTCACGAGGTACGTTCACGCGCGCATGTAGGTATCCTTATCATTTCGATAACGCGCGCGAGAAGACAGAGCCACTGTTAAGAGGAGAAAATCTAAAAGGAGACAGAGGGAAAGAGAAAGGTAAGAGTGAGAGTGGGTCAGTATAGGTGTCTGGTTCGGATTATGGATACAGCAGGTACCGATGCAAGATACCTTCGCAAATGATCGAGGAGGAAGCGCGAGATTGCGGTCTGCCACACGGCAACACGCGCATCCTTCCCTTTCCTCCTGAGCAACGGTACCGTCTATTTAGACGTCACGCGAGTCTAAAACCCCGACCTCGATCGTCGGCCTCGATGAGACCCCCTGTTTCTCCTTTGCTCATCTCTCTTCAAGGGCGTAGCGACAGGAGGGAGGAGGTGATGCTCTCGGATCCACTGGAGAGATATAGAGGCTGTGCGTGATTTATTTTCGATTGTGTTTTATTTATATAAAGACCCAAGTATATACGTGATAAATAAACGAGGAAAATCTTTCTCCTCTCAGATCATCTATTATCTTCTCTAAGATTATTTTACAAAAACGAAAATATCGCTGCAATATATTTCTATAATTGAAGAGAACGTATCGTTTTTTTCATATATTCAGTAAAATGAGTATAAATATCTCAAAGTTTTTAAGAGAGACCATATTTTCTTGTTTCATGCAAAAAGAGAAGATAGAGAATTTCAGAAAATGGATGCAAATAACTTTTTCTACACAGTTTATTTTGTCCTTACAGAAACTTGCACTTTGGATCGGAATTACTATATGAGACATTCCGATCCAAAGTGCAGGATTCATCCGTAGAAATGGAATAAATTGTACCTACTGTGTAAAAAAATATTTACATTCAAGGTATACAGAAAAACGGTCTAAATCGAGCAATAATAAGATTTTTTTTTAATTAATAGTTTACAATATTACTAAGAAACATAAAATAAAGATATGAAAAATATACAAAAGTATCGAATGTTTCGGAACTCACAGGTTCTTCTTCAGCGATTCATGAAGATGTTTCGATGTCAATGAAATAAATGCATAATCTCACGGTCAAAGCGACATGGTGTGGTGTTGTGCTGGTATGACAATTCGTTTGAAAGAGAAATGATTCTCCTGTTTTTGCGTGAATGTGTGGAAATTGTGTAAAATGTATGAAAACAGGGAGAGCGTCATTTGTTTGTCTGATTCCGTTAAGCGCAAGTGTTACAACACTTGCAAATTTATATAAAAGCATACTGGGAGGCCTAATATGCGCTTTTGCTTTTTTGTATTTCTGCTTTGTCAGCATTCTTCTAATCATTTGCATGGCGCAAACAGCGAGTGTATCTCTGAACATGAGTATAAATTCTGAGGTTTCCTATTAAAAAGATAATTATTTGAACTAACCTCGGCTTAAAAAATTTAAAGCCAATTTAAATTTTAAAAAACTACAATTTCATGTATCTATTCTCTCATGCGTTAAAAGAGAATTAAACTTTGAAAGGAAGTATATAGTTTAAAGACAAAATATAAAACACGATTAAATTAAATCGAGAGAATTTTTAGTATCTCTTTCTAAGGGCAGAATTAAAAAGAAATAGAAAATTAAACAAAAGCTTCGGTTAACTTCAACGACAGTGTGACTTTTAATATCGATAATTACCATCAACGTAGGGAAAATAATTTTGCTAATATAATCCGTCCTTTGTCTCGAATGTAAATATCTTACCATCGGAAGAATTTCACACTGCGTGGGTGGACCAGTAAAGTGGACTAGGTGATGCGGTCGAAAAAGATGAAGCACATAGAAAGTCGTTTTGTATATATTCATTTCCTGTCATCCTCGTTATTTTTTTTTTTTTTTTGACAAATACATTTTGACGCTGCGACTTGAAGAAGTGAAAAAAAATTATTCTTACAGGACCTTCGTATAGAAAATAATTCAGCCGGCTATAATTAACCATGTAATAACTGGTTTCCCTAGTAGTATAATTTATTGATGCAATATTGGCCCAATTCATATCAATGTTTAACCAATATCTCGTCAATAAATTGTGCTACTCGCGGATTGTAAACCTTGGGACAATTTCCTCTGTCCTCGCTCGCATCGTTCGCAATCGGTGCAAAAGTGACGAACTGTGTCCCGTTCGAGAGAATTTCGTATATACTCGCAGTCGGAGGTGCAAGCTCTCCTGTTGTAGGGTCGTATTGATTTCTATGATGGCGGCAGGCCGGCGCCTGCACCCTCCGCGATCGGAGGAATGGCCAGGGAGCGTTACTCCGTAGTGTGTTTTTCCGTCCTCGGGGACAACGCGCGCGAAAACGCGGCGACAACAGGCTAAGTGGTGAGACGCGTGAAAGCTAATTATTATCGCTTGACGGAAACGACAGTTCGTGTCGCGCCGGCGACCACATTATACTTTCGATTCCGCCCTCGTGGATTTGCACGGAGAGACCACCAAGGTGATCTGTGTTCGTGGGTGATGGTATTCGTGTTCACGTATGGATCGTCGGCGTGGACAGCGATCCCTGAGCAACCGGGCTGCACTGCGATCCCAGTGAGAAATGACTATGGAATCGACGTCGAGTCGATGCCAATTTGATGTCGATTTAATAAAGATTCTTCGATATTGAGCGAACATCGATTCGACGTCAATTCCACTGTCATTTCTTCCTGCTACCAGATTTTACTAAGCTCAGTTGGTGCTTACTGCGTTAATGGACGGACTCTCCTGAATGAGAGCTTTCGCGTATTCCAACAGGATACTCTTTGGTTGCCGTAATCGCGGCGGCGGCACCGGCAGCGAGGGTCATCGCCACAAAGTATAGAGGGTCACGCGTGATCGTCTTTATAATCACGCCGGTGAAATCAGCAGGGAAACGATATTCTTGGGTAAGAGATAGATGATCCACGCCAGATGGTTTTACTATACTGTGACTAGAATAAAAATTATACACTCGGAAAAGATTGTTGAATGTGCTAATTTCTCATGAAATGTGCTTATACTCCGCATGTAATACTGGACCGCTTTAGAGCTATTAGATATTTTGATTCCGATAATTCGAAACAGACATCAGCTAGTAAAGATCGAATTTCGATGTTTGTTGCAAAGATTGATTATACATATATCAAGAAAATTGTTTTAATTGTTAAATTATTAGATATCTCTGCCAGATGATCTAAACGTAATATAAATAGAGCTCTTGTTTATTCTAGGCTCAGAGAGAGAGAGAGAGAGAGAGAGAGAGAACAGCGTATGTTTTTATTTTCAACAGCATATCGATTTTTTTGTTTCACGTGGATCGTTTTGCAAAAAGATATACGACTACTTTTAGTGATTGACGAAAGAGTTGAAATATTCTAACTCTGTTGAAACTGATTATTCTTTAAATTGCGATATCCGTTTAAGTCTAATTGTTACTCATCATTGAAACAGTTTGCTCGAAAGACGAAATATGCTTTTCTCGTCATATTATAAACATGATTTTGAAATGTTTGTTAAATTCCAATTGTGTCAATTAAAACAAACGCGAAACTTTTCGCGGCTGTTTTACCGCATCTACACGTGAAGACTATACCGCACTTGTCACTTGTCATGTACTCGTGAATGACTCGTTTAGCTGTATAGCTTACGCTCTATCGACCGACTTATATCCCCTTTCGTCACTCGTTCATGTGTCTTACTTTTAATATCTCGGTCATCAACTCATTATAACTGCGTAGCTCTGTTCAAAGACGCCTGAACAATATCCCAGAACAATCCGAAAATTCTCGCCTAGATCCGTGAGATTGTTAATTGCCGCAGCGTGCGCCTTACGTTTCCTATCTGATTAATGTAGAATGAAATGAGAATAAGGAGACTTGATAATCAATACAACAGATTAGAAAAAGGCATAAGGGTCAAGGAAAATTAATCCCGAGAGAGAGAGAGGAGAACAAAAAGTCAAAATAATAATTTCAAAGAAGAAGAAAGTCTAAATAATATCAATTTTTTGACATTATAATAATTAATAATCGATGATATTATTTTTTTTAATGATTCGGTTAATTTTCTTGTTTTTTTGACTATGTTGTTCTTTTTTTGGAGGGCGGGAGGATAAGTTAAATGTAGCGAATTCACTTAAAACGAAAAATACATACTACATGTTTCGATTCATTTTTTAGTTATTTTCAAAGCGTATTTAAGGTAAATGTACCACTCCGTGGACATGACACAATTGTTGGACAAATTGTGACAATTTTAAATATTAAGCTGTTGATGATATGTGTTACTGTAAATAAATTTTTAAGCAATTTTTCATATTATTTAGAAATTAAGTATTATATAATTTATTCATATTAAAAATGATACTTTTGTAAAAAGAATTTCGTTTATGGACAATCGTCCATTTATTAGGACATTCACACATATGCGTGTGTCAATTATTGGACATTCCTTAGCTTACCTGTTTACTGAATGATTAAAAAACATATTTTGTATATATTACATATAAAACTTTATATAAAACTTCACTAATTACAATTTCGATAAACTTTTTTGAACAATCTTGATTGATAAGTAAGTAAAATGAGATTCTCTTCTATAATAAGAACATTGCTTATTATTTGTCCAATAATTGGGTCATACTTTTGTGGACACGTCACATTTTTTGTCCAATAATTAGGACATTTGAATCATATTATATTTATGACTAAATACAATTTATAATAAACGCAAATAACATATTTGATAATGGATTTAGTTTCAGAAAACATCCATTCTTACTAAGCATGTGTAATAAACTAAAATTTTAATGTTTCTAAAGTTTAAATAAATGATTTCGTCGTGCAATTCCTTAACTGTCCAATAACCGGTATATTTACCTTATAGGTAATAACCGAATTACACAGACAATGTTCTGAAAATGACTGTCCACAATACAAGAACGACTCGTTAGTCTCTGTAACTTGGTTGCTTATATCTACGCTTGAAGGATGGTTCAAAAATGAGTTGACACATGTATGTACTCTTCGTTTTAGTAAATCGCTTACTTGATTTACTATCTCTGTACACTTATTTCCGCGCTCGACTCTTATGTCTTTTTTTTTTATTTTGCTATTTTGAATGTAAAATGAGCTACAAAGTCGCCAACCAAAAGGCTAAAATGTATATAAGTAATCATTCAGCAATGATTGCAAAGCGGTATCTTGTAAAACACGTGTACTTCCCGTCGCGATGATCGACGATTTTCAACAAAGGAATTACGAGCAGTGCTCGATTGAGGTCGCATTCAGTAATTCGCATAAACAATTTTCTTGTTTAATATGCTATTTGACGAACCCGCGGGAAGAGGCGCTAGGTTTGCGCAGCGCTCGTCATCCTACGACATTTAACGAGACGCGACGAGACGTTCAAACGCGGTCAATCGCGCACTTAGTCATATGACATGTGACAGTAGAAAGCATCATCAACATCGCGATTCAAGGCGGTTTAGTTAGCAGATGAATCGAAATGGCTTGTACCCACCCATCATGCGTTCAGGTTGACGAATCTGTCGACATCATAGCCGTTTATTTCCTCCGCGATTCTAATTTAAACCGCGTTCCGTTTTAAAAACTCCAATCCGATTTAATTAAAATCTCGTTTCCTTCTAATTTAAACAGTATACGCACCCTTGCATTTAACTTTGACAAAAAGCACGCACTTTCCATTCTCGAGGAATTCTTGGCAGGCGCAATCGCTCGGGTATTACGCCATTAACACCGTAAAATCGCGTGCGAAGACGTTAACCGTGTTTGAGGGATTTTACTTTCGCTTCTTCATTTGTCAGATGTACTGGACATACCAGCTCTGGCGTGATACGGAGAAATCATCGCGACTGAAAGAAACACCTAATGCGCATTTACGAGACTGACGTGTCTACAATCAATAAGAATCCAGGGATATTGCTGGTTGATCTATGTTCAACACATCGTATTATCGATATAATATACGCAGGATAAGCATTATTTTATCACAACAAGGATAACTATAATTTAAAGTATATAGAAGCAGGGCGAAGAGCCAGTAAAACAATTACGAAATTTAAATTCAAATAATAACAATCATACACAGTTTAGTATAAAAAGACAGAGAAGTTTGATATAAATAATACATATTTCGTTTTATACTTATAGAGTCTTATAATGTTTATTATTTTTTTATACGCGGGCGAAACAATGCGTTGTAATAATAAGTACTTTAATTTCATAATAATCAAACAAAGAAAGGACAATAAGAGTCAGATAGTAAATAAAAAAAAAGCGGTTAAAACATTTAAATAACTTTAACTGTGTATATACATAGAATTAATTGAAATACAATAAATAAATTAGAAGTACTTAGCCGCTTGTGATGTTATAAGAATGATAAAAACGCAAATTTGTAAAAAACGCAACTAGTTTCGACTCCAAGTAGTTTCGACTTTTTTTTTATTTTATTTACTATCTGACTCTTATTGTCCTTTCTTTGTTTGATTATTATTGTATATAAAGAGTCCTTTATTTTTCATTTTACTTTAATTTCATCTTAACATTGAGAATGACCCGATCAAAGTCGAAACGTACGTATCGTATTACTTACCATATATTAAACTTCTCTGTATTTTTATACTAAACTATGTATGATTGTTATTATTTGAATTTAAATTTCACAATTGTTCTACTTTTGCCCTTCTTTCACATACTTTGTTTTATACTTATAGAGCCTTATAACGTTAACTATAATTTAATCGTAATCATTAATAACCTGATATATCGTTCTGCTGTAATAACCGGTCTTATATACCACGATAATAATTAAATGCGTAATATTGGATACACCTCGCTTCTGCGATTTTGTTTTAGGCTTCAAACAATAATAGTTAAAATTATTAATAATAAACTGAAATTTCCCGTACGGTTCACATCGCTCATTCGCACAAACGATACGTGTTGTAGAGAGGTAAGAAATTTTTGCGTGCCGAACAGTCGTCAGTCATTCTCATCAAGGAAAGTTGTGGCTATACGAGAGGAGTCAGTCGCATCTCGCGGGTTTACGCACACCAGGCCTAGACATTGACCTCGAAAGCGAGGTGATCATAGTCGGCGTAGAGACGTATCGAAGAAAGTACGCCAATCAGCCTCCAACCGGTTTGCGTCTTACGTGTATCACTATGATCGGACGTTATAGTCGATTTCCTTCCTCAGAGAATTCTCTTTTGCGAACCGATTAATCAATCGGCGCGCTGGTATTATATTCGAAAAAATGTATACGTACTCGTATTACCCCAATAGGCTAATTGATAGGTATACAATAATGGTATGATAAAACCAAGAAAATCCCATGAAAGGGAGCGAGTCAGAATGCCACGTAGTTGTTGGTACGCAATTAATTAAAAGTAGATCCCTCGAAATCCGACTCTTTTTAATTCGAATTTCGACTCTTTTTTAAGTCCTCCTCAGTTAATACAATCAGTAATTCTCCTATAAATTTTTGGACAAGCAATGTATATAATATCTTAAAAGTTTGCTCCTGAAATGTTTTTTCATCGGGAAGTGTGCGTATGCTTGGTGCATAACTTTGAAACATTTATGAATATAACGAGAGGAGGGATAACCAATACATCGTAACTACGATACGTGTCTGGCTAAAACAGTACGGATTGAAATACACAGCATGATAGAACGTAAAAAAGTGTATTATCATTTATTAAGCTTTTATTAGTTTTTCATTACTCAAATTTACTTAAACACTGCAGTTGAGATCTTTATTAATTTCTATCTTTACTTATCAATTGCTGCTGTTTTTCAAACACAAGAGAATTTAAATATAATAAAAAATAAGAGAAAAATCTTGATTTCAGAAATTAAGCATATATAATCATTAGAGAGGG